TATAACTGCATGTAGTAAGTAGGCTCGCGGATTTTTATTACTTCGTGGTAACTCTTTGCGTTGGTAACAGAAGCAAAGGAATAATACCTTTTTTAAAACTATAACCTTTTTAACATCGCAGTGTAATCAGTTTACGTTCAAATTGTATACTTTGTTTTCATGATTTTGACAGTTTTGTAATGAATCAAAAAACAGTTGTTCAGTGTTGACTGAAATGAAATTTTTTTTTTGCCAATACATACTATGTCACATATTGTTTTCATAAAATTAAGGAAAGAAATATATTAAAGATTTTGAAGAGAAATATCTGATCTTCTGCGAGTAGTTTAATGTCAAGGTTTAAAAACTTGTCTATCCAATTTAATTAGTCGCATTTCGCTTTCCCATTGGATGCATCAAATTTTAATCATTGATGTTGGCGCCTTTTTCATTGTCAAGAAGAATAACATACACATTTGATAGTATGTCATTTACTCTAGCTTTTAGATTTTCTAATCAGCAACTGATTGGGTTACAAAGATTTGCACATTACTGACACTTCTTTTCCTTCTCTTCACTTTTGCAATTAATTGTTGAACTAGTAGTGAGTTTGAAATGCTCAAAATACCATCGGATTAATGCTTACTGTATGGTCCCGTGGCAAAATTTGCCTAACTGGAATAGTCATAATTTCACAGTGACTTGTTTGTGTAGAGGAATGGACTGCGTTAATCTTTTGGTCGTTCAAGTTGAATTTCTGGTTGGATCTTGATGCGGGAGTATATTGCTTGATTTGACGATGGCATCCTGTGAAGAGGAAGTATTGCGAATCGGCAGGAAGTTCGAACGAATGATACAAGGAACTAAGACGGCTAGTCAATTTGTTTTATCTTATTTCGATCAAAATTGAAATGTTAAGTTTGAAAAAACTTATAGACTGTTTTGATGACGAAATTTTTGCTACTAATCGATATTATATATGATCGTAGTTGACACATAATTTTTGTTTTTTGCTATCGATTTTGAATTAGTTTGTGGTTTTGATTCAGCACGTTTTGCGTTTAATTGTGATGCGGACTTATAAATTTATATGTTAGACTTCAATATGACACCTTCATTTGATGCGATAGTTTCACTTTATACATCGTATATGGTGCAGATATAACATTTATGATCAAAAATAGGATAGATAGATGTCACCGTAGTGAAAACTCAAAACTAGTCTGTATAATTCTCCTAGAATGCATGGAGTGAGGGTTCGTTTTCAATATTATGTCGGAAGAAGAGGCAATGTTTCTTAGGAAAACAGTAATATTCTTCCGATATGCATCTGTTAGATGAGGAAACATTTAACTTATGTACTGAAAGCACCATCAGTTATCAGCACTAAGAAAAGGAAGAAAATTCATATGACTCATCATTTCTAGATGGACGATGCTATGGAATTGTTGGATGCATTATCTGCATTACCTGTCGACATAAATATCCTCACTGTAAGTCCATTTAAACTCTTCATATTTATCATGTTTTTCCATATACTGTTAGCGAAGACGAAGATAATGAGAATTTAGCGATAATTGTGCTTTGAATGCTGATGTTATTAGTAAAGATAATTTCAGAAAACTCGTATTGGTATGACAATCAATGATTTACGCAAAAAAACCAGCGATGAACATATTGCTAAGCGAGCTAAAGCTTTGATTAAGGTATTTAATGTTCGCTTAAGTTCAATCTTCGATTTTATGGACTAAGTTATTCGAATTCTGCTTTCGTTAGAAGTTGTTCGATTAGTTCAAGAGTGATATAACATCATTTGTAACAATGCTTATTACTTTATCGCACTTCATTTTCTATCTTCTAGTTGATATTCCTCACGAAAGTTTTTAAGGTGCCAAAAAAAGTAACAATACAACATTGGGCCTTCATTAATTAACTTTTATATACCGAGTCGTTTGAGTCATGGGCATATTAGACTTAGTGTAGGAGTATGTGATAAAGTAGTATTTTTTATTTGCTTGCAAATGCTTCATTTGTGAAGAAGTTGTAAAATTGGCGGTGTTATGGGGTATGTTTCGGAATAAAAAGTTATTCATTTTGTCAGTTAGAGGTAGAGATACATTACGCAGCATTTAAGAAGTGCATGGTGCTAGCTGTTCGTTAAAAATTGTGAAATAGCATACAGTATGGCAAATTGAATGATATTGCAATATTTTGTTTTCCACTGTCCAATT